TAGAGTTGTTACAATATTCTTCTTCTTAAAACTGAAGTCCATGAAGGCTATATTTTCTAGTAGACGATTTTGTGAAAATGGTATACTACTGAAAGCAGCTGATCACTAAGGTCACTCCATCTATAACGAGGTTCACTCGAGCCATCCGTAATACGAATTGTTATGTTCATGTTGAATCAAGTCTAAAATTAGCAAGGTGGAATACAATTAGCATAATTATGTATATGAACATGATTGAGATTACTGTTTTAGAAGGGACTAGGCACCTAAAGAATGAATAATCCACTGATTAGTTTGTCAATCAAAATAATCCTTAATATAATATATCTTTTAAGTACAGTAGTAAATTTGTTTTAAAGCTAGATCTCCTTCCTTGCAGGTGATAATGTCCCCATCTTTCTTTGACTTTTGTCATTACCCTTAATTTAATACAACATTTTTTAATTTTCAAGCATGGAAGATTTGTACTCAATTGCTTAAGTGCTAGTAAATTTGTTATTTTTCTATAATTTAAAGTGCTTTGATAGACCACCAAATTTCTTAATTATATATATACATTAATTGAACCTTCCTTTGGTGGGAAAAGTTTATGGTTATATATCTACTACAATAATATGGAAAAATTTTAAAAAATAATAGTGCGTGAGAAATAATATTCTTGTTTGGAGGCAGATAAAAAAATACACACACATTTAGGTATTAGTCAAAACCTATAGGTTTTGCTATATATGGTAGAGAGAGTTAGAACATTATATATATAGCAGGTGCATTAGTTCAAGAAAGTACATAGTTCATTCTCATCATCTTTAAGAGTGATGGAGAAAAATATTTCTGGTGCAGAATCATGCATGAAGAAGAAGGTGAAGCTATTCGGATTCGAGCTCGACTCATGTCGAAAAAGGAAGGAAATTTCAGAAGGAGATGAAAGTGTGAATTCATCATCCTCTTCTACTGTAACATCTGGAAGAGAGAAGCCTGCCTTGGAGAAGGGAGAAAATGAGAAATTCAATAACGAAATAAGCCTTGTTCCTGATAAATTAGGGGTCGACCAAGAAAAAAAGAAATTCGAGTGCCAATATTGTTTCAAGAATTTTGCAAATTCACAAGCACTGGGAGGCCATCAAAATGCCCACAAAAAGGAAAGAATGAAGAAAAAAAGGCTCCAGCTTCAAGAAAGAAAGGGAAATATGATCAATTACTACAAGAAGATTCAGCCCTTTCAGAATTCTAACTATCGTGGATCTTCTGCATGGCTTTATGATCCTTCATGTCATGCTCCAGCTGAGTTTACACTCTACGAGGAGTCTCAAATCAGCTTCGACCCGTATCAAACACGAGTTTTCAGCCTTAAGTGTCCTGTCGATAATAAATCGAGAGATAGAAGTACGAGACCTGTTGTTATCAAACAACCCTCTTCTTCGCCTAATTCGAAGAGTGATTGTAAATCGTTAGATCTTAAGCTAGGATTGAGCTTAATTTAATTTTCTTCTTGATTCTTTTAAGTTAATTGGGTTTTACACCACATCTATGGCTTCAATATTTATTGCTGAAATGCAATGAGTTGTATTAATTGGAGATTCATATACTTCTATTAATCATTTTTAGAGTTTCATCCATAAAACGAGGTTTAATTCTTTGTTCCAATATAGTTATTTGAATAATCTTCTCTTTCTTTTTGGTTTTTTATTTTTTGCTGCATCAAGATTTATGTTTTAAATTTTTTCTTATGGAGATAAAAGGCCCATTAATCAGTCTCTCCAA